ACAGGGTTGTTGTTGTGGGGATAAGATGGAGGAGGAGAGATGATGTAAGCTGCCTTGAGCCCTTTGTAGGAAAAAGGCAGGATATAAATCGCAATATAAATAAATAAATAAATAAAATCTCCGTTCACTCAAAAGCACATCCCTAGGTCGAAGCATGAAGCATGAGCTCTCCCTGTCCTCATCCCGAGGCCATGGCATTACCTGGCTCCTGGCATGCCTCTACCACCTGCCTGGCTGGCCGTACCTTGCTCCTAGGGCTTCGCTGCACCTGCTGGGTGGGGCACAGGCAGGATTCTAATGGGGCATGTGAGCCGTTTGCCAGCTGCCACGGGGCTGAGGATTGATTGATGAGCTCACGTCCGTACTTCCACCGCGTTACTGACAGGATGGGTGCTCCGGGCTAGTTTCTGAGCGCAGCTGCGTGCCGATCACATCCGAAAATACGGGGCTGAATTTCACTCCCGCGCTGCCCAGTGGCTGAACCACTCCACGTGCGAAGCACAGATGCAGCACCCAAGTGTCAAGCAGGCGGTGCTCAAAGCGGTCGCAAGAGCTGGGAGACGCTCGTTAAGAAATCAGAGCTGTTAAAACCGCCGGCCACGTCCTTTCAGAGCTCGGGGGTGGAGTCAGGGAAAGGGTGTTTGCCATCCCTAGCTGAAACTTGGGGCTTGATCCAGGGACGGCGGAAGGCGGCCGTCAGCAGAATTTGTGCTTCTCCGCACAGCGGAGTGAAAGTATGCAACAGACACAAATCCCACGAGTCGCACATGCAGAAGCAGGGATCTGCTTGCGGGGTGCCTGCGTGGGCGAAGCTCAGAAACAAGCCACGTGGCCTCATTTGGCCTCGCTTCTTGCTGGACACAAACACTGCTGTGAGAGGGGCTTGCAGTGGAGGGAAGGGGCCAGAGCCCACGCGGCCGAGCCAAGGAAAACCAGGAGGTTTCCCCCCTCCAGATGGCAAGCCATTTACGGGGGTGAGAAGCCATCCGACATTCATGGTTTGGCCCTGCTGACGCTTGTTCGTTATTCTCGCTGATGCCGAGGCACAGTAAGCAAGCGAGACGCAGGCACGTCTCCGGCTCAGCTCCGCCGTGATCCGGGGTGGGTGTGAATTGGACCGGGCCTGCTTGGCTCTGTTCTGGCCCTGAGATGCCGCCTTCTTTTTCCCCAGGTCTCTGGAAGTGATCACCGGCTTGGAGAGCAACAGTAAGATCTTCACGGTTTATGTCCACGGATTGCTGCAGCTGCAGGTACCGCTCACGGGACAGGTGGCTGCCGAGGGCTCCACCCGGGAGCCCCACTGTAAGAGGGTCATTGCGTTCCCTCGAACCCGAGCGCGGCGCTTCGCAAGCGCTTCCCCAGCGCGGATCCCAAACCTTGGGGCCAGCCCGTGGCCTGAACGCAATTTGGGGTAGTGCAAACCCCCTTTTGGCAAGCAGCCCTCCAAACGTGGGGCTCGGCTTTGGTGCACAGCTTTGCGTCTGTGCTGTGATGGGAGAATTGTGCAGAGTTCGGTCGGTTCGCATTCAAAGCTGCACCCAACAGATCTCTCCTCCATCGCTTTGGCAAGGCTGTTGCAGCAGAAGCTTGCAAGTGACCGAAAAGTTTCGCTTAAATTCTGGAATTCTCCTTTCTAGCTGGGATGAAAAACTCGGCCTCAGTCCCCACCCCTGTCTTGGAGCCCCTGGGCACCTCTGATCCAGTTCTCATCCTGGGGCCCACGGCTTTTCCGCCTACTAGAGCCTCCGAGGAGCCACTCTGCCAAGGTTTTAGATTTCAACACCCACCAGTGCTTGTCAACAAGGCCAGGGATGCTGGGAACTGTAGTCCTTAACTCGGAAGGGGACCGGGCTAGGAAGAGGGCTTGCGATTCCTGTCCTGTGGTTTCTTTAGCCACGGCAGCTTGTATTCTGAACTTTATCGGAGCTCTCCAGGGTGCTGCTGCTTTTTATCCTGCGCTGAAGGGTTGCTTCAGTGAACGATTCTTCCTTCTTTCCTTTCCCACCTCACCTGGCAGATTCAGGCCGCCAGGTGAGCCTCGTGTTGGCTGGGCTGAGCCTTGTGGTCTTGAAGGGGGGGGGGGCGGGTGCAGCATGAGCACTGATATGCGTCCAGTTTAGGCATTATCCTGCCCCCCCCCCTTCCACTGGTTGCCCAAGTCAGGAGTTGAGGAGCCATCAACGGACTCACATACATTTGAATTTCGACAACTCCAACCTGTGGATTGCACAGCAGTTCAGTTTTTCCCATCATGCGAATCCCACAAATTTGCAGGCCGCTTTTCTTCCTCCTGCACGTTTGTTTATTTATTTATGTAGAGTATTTCTAGGCTGTCCATCACTTCCGTCTCTGGACGGCTTACAGTAAAATCTATAAATGCAATATATAAATCCAAATAGCAGTGAATTAAATCTCCCATGACTGAACATAAATTAATTATTAAAATAATTATAATAATACTTAAAATCTGTTGGCCTTAAAAATAGAGGTTAAATGAAAAGGATTTATATGGATTTATGGAGAAATACAGCCTCTCACTCACCCCTGAAGGATGAAAGACAGATATTTTCTCCAAGGGGTGAAGCATGAAAATATCCATTTAGGAGAACTGCTTATTTGGAGCACGTGAGTTTTCGCAAGTGTGTACAAATCCATTTGCCCGAAATCTGATTCAGCCAAAGAGGCGTCCATGAGTGAATGTGTCGATCTGTGAAACACAAACCTATTTCTTTATTTAAAACATTTCTATCCTGTCCTTCTCGATACAACATCTCAGGACAGCTTACAATACTTAAATGCAGCAATGATAATAAATAACCATTCATAATAAATAAATAATGTTAATACAGTGATTAAATCAATAAATAACAGAACAACAATAACATTCAAGTCTAACAAAACTAAAGAAGAAATAAAAAATAAATTTAAAAAAACCTACAAAACTAAAACAGCTCACTTTGCCGTTGTCCTATTCTCAATGGCCTGATTGTCCTGATCTTGGGTTTCCCCCAGTCCTGATTCATGCCCAGCCGCATGGTGGATTTCTCCTGCGTTGATGAACGTTTCTGCTGAGCACGGTCTGCAAAATACGTAGTCGATTCAACCAATGCATGACTGCAAATCCCACCTTACCGCTGATTTCTTTTCTTCCCCTCTTTGCACCCCGATACAGGCTGGACAATACACCTCAATATTTGTGGACAACAGCGCTGGTGCGCCTGTCACCATTCAGAACGGTTCGGATTTCATGGGGATGTTTGTGGGAATCTAATCCCAGAGAATCTGGGGGCAGGATGGTGGGGGAAGGCGGCCATCCGAAGACTGACCCACGTTCGGATCTGGACAAGACCTTTGGCAGCCAGGAGCTGAATGGCGCAAACCGGGTTTTCGGCACTCCAAGGGGAAAAATGGAGGGGAAGGGACACTTGGGCCTCGGAATCCAAATCCAAGCATCCAAGTTCATTGCAGAATTGTAGGACGTATTCAGAGCCTGGGCTCTGGACTCTGCTCTGACCCCCTGAAACTGGCTCGCTCTGGGGGCAGGGGGAAGTTCCGGAGAAAATGGGAATCGTGGGCATTGAAGGGTTCAGCGGTGGAACACGTGCGCCAGCAAAAAGCCCCAAGCTTAACCCCCGACTTTCTAACAAATCCACAACACTGCGGTCATCGGAGTTCTCCAGATTCCTCCTCAAAGCTCCTTCCAGCTGAAGCCCAAACTGAGCTTCGTCTTTCTTTCTGCGGCAGGAAAATGCATCTCACATATTTGTGTCTGCAAATGCCAGAAGCGACACATCAATCGCGCACATCTTCGAAATGTGCCTCTTCCTCCCTCCGTGACATCGTCCAAAAGCACGCATTTTTCCCACGTGTGGTTTTCATGCGTGCTCACGTGTCAAACGCCTTTTTTGAGGGCACAAATTGCACCCCGAGCTCCGAAAGTACCTGCGGCTGCACCAATCTGGGCTTGCTCTGAAAGGTGAAAGCAAGAACTGCAAGGAATTTTAAGCACACCTAAGAGCAGAAAGCACCAGAATTTTTCCTCCAGCCATTTCCAGTGTGTGACGTTTCGCTTCTGCCAACACCCACTTTGGTTCTGGGTTTCAAACATGGCTTTTCCATGCAAGATGCTACTTTTTGTTAATTCGTCTGGAACAGAGAGTGTGTCAGGCTGCTCTTCGGAGATCTCCGTTCCACTCCCCGCTCAGCCAGGAGGCTCAAGGGGACGGGAACTGACCTTCAGCTCAACTGACCTCACAGGGTTGCTGCGAGCCAGTGTGGCACAGGGGTTAGAGGGTTAGAATGAGCCCTGAGAGGCCTGGCTTGTCCCCACCTGGCCACAAAGCTCAGCTGAGTGACTTTGGACCAGTGCTCCCAGCTTTTCCTACCTTAGGGGGTTGTTGTGAGGATCAAATGGAGCCTGGAAGGTCCATCTCAAGCCCCTTCGGTACCTCGAAGAGAGGAATACTGTAGGATAAAGAAGCAACACAATAAATGAGAGAGACCAGCTTGCTCCCTGGGCTCCAGAGAGGGGGTCTGTCTTAGCCCTGCCCGGAGATGCTAGGAATTGAACCCAGAACCCCTTTGCAAGGCGGGGACTCTGCCACGGAGCTATGGGGCTGCTCCACGCATCAAATAAAGGTGCAAGTGATACCCACAGCAAAATTCTCCCCACATGTTGTTGCAGAAGTGAGTTTTGCCTCTCCATCGGTTCCTGGACTGGAATCGCTGTGGGAGTCCCTTGTAAGCCCCGACTGGCACAAGATTACTGAATGAAATGGCTGCAAAACTGCCATTCAAGCCAGCTAAGGAATGCTGACGGAAAGGGGCCAGATCCCCGTCGATTTCGGAAAAGGGAGTGCCGTTTCCCCCTCCCCACTCCCAGCCGCTGCATCCCGGATTCTGCTGACCTTCCGAACCCGCCTGCAAGAGATCGGCAGCAGCCGCTTTGAACCTCGTTCACGGTGGCAGTCCGTGCATGCGCATTTGTAAAAATAATGTAATGATTATTATAACTGAAAGAAGGGTCTATTATTTAAATTGTCCGCGCTTGGCCGCGAGCCGCCCGGACGAAGGCCAGTGAGCACCACGGCTGGAGTGCTTTGGACGGGTGCCGTGCCGAGCCGCTGCTTGTCAGGACGGGAGTGCCGCCCCGTGGTGTGGGGCATGCGTGGGCAAGCGGGACGGATGGGCCGAGCGGCGCAGGGAGCCGCAGGAGCAGCTGGCAAGGAGCGTCCGGCGTCTCGACTTTGGCGGGGCTGGAACTGAACGCCGCGGAGGTGCACGGAGTCGGATCCAGACTTTGGTCGGGTGCCAGAGCGGTGCTCCTGGGGCGGGGAAAGCTGGCCAAATGTCCTCCGACGGTTCCCGGGAGTTGCCCTGTGCATTGCTAACGCAAGCGCCGGGCGGAAAGGCAGCCGTGGCTGAGAAAGTCCCACGGCCGCCGTCTCCGGGGAGGGTGGCCATGGCCTGTGGTCGGAACAGGGATCTGGCCGGCCGGCAAGTCGGCGGGGAGCTGTCCAGCCGAACCTGCAGCCGATTTGGCAAGGGTTCGGATGGGGCGCCCCCACCGAACGGCTGCACCGGCAACCGCCGGCCAGAAATCCAGCCCAGCAATGGCGGAACGAGGCTTCCTTCTGGAGCTTCCACGGGGCCCCGATCCCAGGCATGCGTTAGCGGCAGGGGTGCTCAGACTGTGACTCTTGGCTGTTCCTGGTACACCCCCCAAGGGCAAGAGGACTGCACCCACTTCGCGGCCCCCCAATTGAGAATGAGCGAGAGAGAGAGACAGTGTGGAGTAGTGGTGAGAGCACTGGACCGGGACCAGAGGATCAAGGTTCTGGTCCCCGGTTGTCCATGACGCTCCCTGAGGGACAAGGGGCCCCTTGCTGACACTCGACCTGAACTACCTCACAGGGTTGTTGTGAGGAGAATATGGGGGAGCGACAGAGGATCCTGTACCTGCCCTGGGCTCCTTGGGGAGGAAGGGTGGAATATAAATATAACAATGAATGAATGAAATCAGTCCAGGGGTGTCTGTTTCCGTGCAGCGATCTTGGTGGAGAGCACCCACACCCAGTGGTCCTGAGACCCCGGCAAACCGGGAGGGGAGCTGTACAGTTGTGAGAGAGAGAGAGACAGAGAGAGAGAGAGAGAGAGAGAGAGAGAGAGGCAGCCCTTGGCACAAACTCCTGGGCATCACTGCCTTTCCTCTTCCGTAGAATTGCTGCTTCCGGAGACGGACCTTCCCCCTCGAAAAATTCAGCCCTGTTTTAAGCGCTCTCCTGCCAGCCGGGCGATTTTATTTTCTGGGGAAGGGGCCATCCAGAAACTGGGGTGGGCGTATTTCAGGCCGTGGGCATCCGTACGGCAGAGCCTCTTGCCCTCTTCCCTTTCTCCGGCATCTGACGCCGTCATGAGATCGATAGGTAATCCTGGCAGGCTGCCTCTTCGGGTCACGCAGCAGCCCGGTCCTCGACCCGGGACCAGCTTCCGGTCAGCCCGCCCGGCCAGCAAGGCAGGTGTTGACTTTTGGGGCTGGCGTGGAAGGAGCCGGACTTTAAAGAGTGGTGATCTTGAATGTTCAGCTCGCTCTCTTCCGCCTGGATTGCAGCTGGAGCAGAATCTGCCGGGATCAGCTTCACACTTCAGCCTCGTTAGCAGAGGCCAAGTGAGGTGTAGCCGAATTTTGATTATGCTTGATTTGAAATTAAGCTACGGCAGCCCTAGAGACCTCTGCTGCATCCAAGCCCCCCGGCGAGCAGTGGAGCCCCACGGAAACTGGGGTGCTGGCCCCACTGAGACTCTGCTCCTGCTGCCAGTAGATGCTGCCAAATCACTGCCCCCCCCCCGCCCCCCGGTTGAGGTTCTGTCCACCCTCGTCCTAGTGATAGCGGGGGATGCTTTGCAGAGAGTTGGGGACAGGTCTCTGCCCCAGAAGGCCGGCCATCAAGGAATGAGTGAGTCAACCTGGTGCCTCCAGGTGTTTGGAACATCAACCCCCATCATCCACAGCCAGCACCATCAAGCATCAGGGACTAGAAGCTTGAGTCTAGAATTGCTGGGGGGGACCTAGTGGCCTGTCCCTGTAAGGCCAGGTGGAAGACCTTTTCCAGCTCAACGGTGGCTTTCTGTTTTGGAGGAGCTTTTCAAAGCCCCTGTGTGTCCGTCCGTCTGTCCGTCCGTCCATCCGTTAGCCAGCCATCCTTTGGCCGATTTGCAATTTACTTGCATCGCTCTGCTTCTCGCTTAGCTAATTCCCAGACGATCCTGCAGTGCTGTACAAAATGCAAATCCAGTTTGAAAAAGCAAAGCCTTGCCCCGAAGTTATCGCGGCATGAACTAAATGGAAAGCGGGAGAAACTTCCCGGCGATTTGTGCCGGTTGGCAAAGGAGTCCGGGAGCCAAGCGGGGCGCGGGCAGGGCCGGCAGGCGAGATGCGGGCCGTGTTGCGCAGCACGCACACCCCCTTCTGGGGGAGAGGGCGACCCCAGGGACGGGAATGGAGGCTGCCCCAAAGAGATGGCGGCTTGCGTGGGGACACGGGTCCCAGCTGTGCCTCTCCGCCCCACGCTCCCCTGCCCTCTCTTCCGAGCGGCTGGCGCCCCGGTCCCCCCGGAACCAGGCAGCTCCGCGTCTCCAGCCTCGTGTGGCCTCTGACTGTTTTCTCTGGCGGGGCTTTGGCAGGTTATGGGGTTTCGCATTCAAGCCCTCTTCAGATTTCAGGTTTGCGTAAACGATTTCGATGCCACACTCCAGACAGACTCCACGGGTATTTACGTTGGATTAGTGGTGGCTCGCTGCCTTCCCTCGCCCAAGAGAGAGAGGAAAAGCGCAGCGTATGGAAACGCCTCGTGACGCTCCGCGCCTCTCGTTCCGCAACCAGAACAGAACACCTCTTGGGGCTTCACTGGAGCTGGGAGGAAAGGATGCCCCGAAAGGGTGTTGCGTGGTGGTCCGGAGGGCGGGACCAGCCCCCTGCCCCCCCTTCCACGAATTCTGTGAGCTCCACTGCATTCGCCACCGTTTTGGGGAAATGCATTTTCCCGGCGAAATAATATTTTGCAGGATTAGTGCAAAGCATCTGGAGGTGTCTTAGCCACAGACGGACGACCGAAATCTATGAGCCTTAGAGAAGACTAGCTGCTGGTGGAGAAGAGAAGCTAGAGTCGGCTTGTGCTGACAAGGATCGGGATTGTTAGATTCTGTTTGGTGGAGAGCGGCTAGGAAGACGGCTAGGACAAGTGGCTGCACCTTCCCTTTACAGTCTTCTGCTGCCGGACTCTGGCCGGCGTGGAAAGGATCGGGCCAGGCGCAAGGGTGGAGGGCCCCCAGCCTCCACGGCTGAAGCCCCTGCCCCAACATTTTTCCCAGGCCGGGGCTGGGACTTTGCCTTGGCTCACGGCTCCCCCTTAACAGCTGTGTCCTGCCAATTTGGGGTCCCCCCTCCCATCAGCTCCTCATTTCCAATAAAAGATGCTGGGAATTACTCCCAGAAGGATCATCTTCAGCGCTTCTAGCTTCTGCACTTCTCCCTGCTTCCTCCGCGTTCAAATGGGGGCCGTCGGCAACTTTAGACGATTCCCTAAACCGGGCCTGGTTGTTCAAAAGTGTCCATTTTCATGGCCATGTTTCCAAAGTACGCCTTTCCCCCAGACGCGTTTGGCTTTGCTTTGTTCTCTCCATCAGCTGCAATGTAACCACACAATCTCCTCCTAACAGCTCTCGATCGAAACTCCGATCTTAAAATTGGGCTTGGCAGCACAAGTTCAGCACTGGGCATCCTGTGGCCCTTTTCTCTCCTGGCTTTTCAGAACGCTTTGCCTCGAAATCCAGTTTGCATTCCAAGAGTGCGAGGTGAGAGACAGAATCCAGTTTCCCCCGCTGGGTTTACCTCAGGCTCAGAGGGGAGTTTTGGCTCTCTTCCGGTATTTCTCCGCAGGTTCGCTTGGCCACGGCCTGCTCTCTTCGGGTCCTGGCTCGGGGAATCTTTCGGAACTGGGGAAGATGCGATTTGCTGGCTTACTGCAGGGGTCGGTTCGCATCCTCCATTTCAAGGTTCGTAGAAGCCGAAGGATGCAGAGCGAAAGCGCTGCAAAGGGTGATCTTGGTCCAGTCGCGCACATTTTGGATTGTGTCGGAAGGGCCATTGTGTGGAAAAACCCGAACCTTTCCTTTGGAGCTTTGTACGCTTGGAAGGCCGCCTTCCATGCCTGTCTAGGGCCACCTGCTGCGCCAAAGGTCCAGGGACCCAAACTTTTGGGGGCATCCGATCCTGCTGAGATAGCAAGCTTCTTGCCTACAAGGGTAGCGCTTCCTGCTGCAACCTCCTTAAATATTTCTGCCTGAAGTTTCCGCACTGAAGTCAAATCCTCTCTCCTTTCCATGCATCTCTTTGGGGTTGGGGAGTCCTTAGGAGACACGGTCTTTGCACCCAGAGGCCTTAGAAGGTGCGGAAGTTAAGCTATGCTTTATTCATGAAAGGGCTTCCCTCTTTCTCATGGGAGAACCACTGGACTGAGCGAAGTCCTGGTCTGATCCAGCAAAACTGTATTCAGAGACGGAAAATAAAGAAAGGGGCAAACTTTGGTCACTCCTGAAAATCCATAATGGTGTATCGGACAGGGAAGCTCTTTGGAAGCCGTTTCCCTTGCTCACCTTATATGGCTTTTCTCAAGATCGGTTCCTTCTGGAAATGTTTAGAAATATTCAGCAATGGCAGATTCTCCTGACAGAGTTATTAATTTGCTGGCAGTTGTTGATAAGTCTGCTGCGTAGAAAGCAGGCTTTGTGTGTGGTCGCAGAAGAGAAAATCGGAGACTCGTTCGAGAATTTTGTTCCTGGACACTGTCTAGGTGAGAACCGGAGCTCCTTTGCAAGGGGGGCCCTGGGGCTTCTCGTCCAGTGCGGCTTTTATTTTGAGCCTTCTAGGCGCCGTCCCTGGGGCCGAATTTATTTTGGAGGTGGACTTCAGCCCAGAAGGTGCAATGGATCCAAAGACTCGCAGATCACCTTGAGCTGGGTGTTGCGGTTCCCTTTTACGCGAGCGTGAGATCTGGCTGCACACGGTGAGGGTGGCCCCTGTGCCGTCTTTTATGGGGAAGGGTCCTCTATTCGAAGCTCAGCCCCATTGGAAGGCCGTTCTGTGTCTGGTTGAGTAGGTGAGGCTGAGAGGCCGGGACTGAGCTCCATGGCCTAATGAGGATTAGAACTCGGATCGACCGAGCGCCAGTCCAACACTAACCACTGGGACACGTTGGTGTCCACCTAACAGTGATAGTTCTACCCAGTGGTGACAGCCGGTGAGAGCAATGGTTGCCTAGTGGTTAGAGAGAAGACTGCTGGGCGGCTTTGAGCCAGTCACGGACTCTCAGCTTAACCTCCCTCGCAGGACTGTTGTGCGAGGCAGGGTGTCCTAGTGGTTAGAACGTCGCACCGAGACTCAGGACACCTGGTTCTAGTCCCCCTCTTGCATTTGTGCCCAGGTGCATCTGCTTGAACCCCAGGCCAGGAAGGACTCTGGCCTGATGCGCCCCAGGTCTCCTCAGGAGCAAGGCTCGGGCATCATGTTTGCTGTCTAATTTGGATTAAACCTCTCGGATCGGCTATGCATTAACCTTGCTGGGATTTTTATTTTTGTTTCGGAGCGGGATGCATGGTTCTTTTTCCTCCTTGGCATGACTTTTTGGTTGAGAGCTGAGAACTTCTGTTCCCCCCCCACTTTATGGGATCTTTGGCAGCCCCTGACCTTCCTGTCCCCAAAAAGCTTTGCGGTGTGTGAGTTTATGATGTTCTCCGAATCCGTTTGGAGATCTGGGTTGCATTCCAGAGAGAGCAGGACGGTGGGGGGGGGGAGGCCGGGGGGGTTTCAGGCCAGCGTGTGGTGGCGATTCAGCGCTGCCAGCGCCAACCGCAGCTTTTCTTGCAGGCGTTTGTGGGTTTTTAGCCATCTGCTCTGCCCGCTCTCCCTCCCAACTCATAAAACA